GGCTGTCGCCTCTCTCTCTTGATGTATGTATTTATTATGCATACGTATACATACATACATACATACATACATATACATATATACATCATATACATATATACATATATATATATATATATATATATATATATATATATATATATATATATATATACATATATATATATATATACATATATATATATATATATATATTATATATATATATATATATATATATATGTATATATATATGTATATATATTATATATATATATATATATATATATATATATATATATATATAATATATTGTGTGTGTGTGTGTGTGTGTGTGTGTGTGTGTGTGTGTGTGTGTGTGTAGACAAACACACACACACTATATATATATATATATATATATATATATATATATATATATTATATATATATATATACAGATCCATACCTTCCTCACTCCCCTTCTTTTCTGCGCCCTTTCCCGCCGCATCACCATTTCACCACATCACCACACCATCCCACCACAACAACACATCACCGCGCCATCACACCATCACATCACGGCAATGCTACATCACCACACTACCACATCACCGCATTACCACTTAACCACCTCATCAAATCGCCATATCACGACAATACCACACCACCACATCATCACCACAAACAATGCCACATTACCACACATACCACCACATCACCACACTACCACCACACCACACTACATCACGACAATGCCACATCACCACGCCATACCACATTATACCACCACATCGCCACACTACCACATCACGACAATGCCACATCACCACACCGTTCCATCCCCCCGCGACCCCCCTCCCTCCCCCGTGATGGCGGCGGGACACGGCACCCACTGCGGACTCCCTCGAGGCGGGCGCGGGCGGCGTGGGCGTGGCGCCGTCGACCTCTCCTAATCACGGCCTGATCCTTCCTCCTAACAAGGGATTAGATTCCGGGATTAGGCGTGAGAGGCAATACAGCGTCCGGAAGTCCGCTAATCGATGCGGATAGACGCTCGGGTGAGGGTGTGGGTGAGGGTGGGGGGGGGGGAGGGAGTTTCTCGATGCGGATATAGGCAAGAGGTGGGTAGGTAGGGGAGGGGGGGAGGGAGTCTCGTGCGGATATACGATCGAGTGGGGTGTGGGTAAGGGTGAGGGGGGGAGGGGAGGGAGTCTCTCGATGCGGATATGGGCAAGACAGGTGGGTAAGTTGGGCGGGGAGGGGGGGGAGTCTGCTGGGAAAGAGGCAGGGATGCGATTCTGATTGTTCGATAACAAGGGAAAGGAAAGGAATTGTTTGCCGCTTGTTTCAGACTGTCGGAAAAAAAATTTGAAGTGAAAAATTTTGTTTATGATATTTTCCTTATTCATGCCATTCTTAGTGTGCGCAATAACCTGCATTTCTTTCCATTTAAGAATCCTTTGGCCATACGTGTGTGTAAGTATATATAGCATATATGTATGTATATATATGTGAGTGTGTGTATGTTTGTATGTATATGCACACACACACACACACACACACACACACACACACACACACACACACACACACACACACACACACACACACACACACACACATATATATATATATATATATATATATATAATATATATATATATATTACATATCTATGGGCGAAGAAGATGCCGCATCTCCCATTCTCTCTCGCGTTATATTACATTTAGCTTCCCTTTTGAACATTTAGGTCCACCGCTGATGATAATAACGATAACGATGATAACCATTTATATTATATTTTCATAACACTAATGACAGGATAATGATATCTAATCATCCATTAATTTATCATATCCATTCCCCATCGTCGCCATCACCATTATCAGAATAAAAAAAAATGATTACCCTAAATATTCAAACGTAACCTCAGACGACTGCTGGAGAGCGGTCACGTGACCTCCGGCCGCAGCCACACGCGTCCCTTTCGCGCCTCAGCTGACACGTCGCATGGAGGACGCGAATTTCCCCGAGTCATTTTGCAGGCTCCCGCAGTGCTTGCTGAGCCTCTATCTTATTCTCCCGTCGCGTGTGAGGTCCACTGCTTGATATTTATTCGCTTTCGGGAATGTTAGAGTAGCTTAATCGTCCATCGCAATGAGACGAGACATGGCTTAAATACTTCTTAAAATCACAGCGGTGCGAATCCTTTGATGCTTGGCCTGTGACGTGACGGGACGGCCTGGCGAGGGATTAGGCGCTAATCTCGTCACGCTATACTCAAACGCTTGCTTGAAAGACACAAGAACTATACATTTTGTTTTCTCCTATTCTTGTTTGAAAATATTTCCACTTTTTTCTAAGTCGACCCATTTATCTTCTCCGATATAACTAACCTATTTGTTTCTTAATGAACGTTTACTAAACATTCCAAACAAGAGATTAAAACATTCTCGCAAGTTTGCCTGTGCGTTTAGCTCTCTCGTCAAAGGAGCACGATTTTGTGTATCACCATGTAATTTCAGTGTGTAAATGTCGC